GTTTAATTTAGATTGATTGATTGATTCTTTGCTTAACGTCCAGTAGCAAAATATTTCATGCATGAAACTTCGTTTGACAAAATATGTAGAAATCTTCAAGCAAACACATATCAAATTATTCCTCTCAGTAAAGGTGGAGAAATCCTAGACATAATGTTTTCATTTCTATTTGCTTTTGGTGAAATTTAAAAGTATTAACAAACAGTCATTAAACGAATGTAGCTTTTCTTGTTGAAACATTTACATTCCTATCTGATGACTTTAAAAATCCTCAATCTCTCTTTTCAGTATTGTTTACTGACTGTTCAGTTTAAGTAAAACTTGCATTGTTTTTTGAATTTTACTCTGGTCACCTTGACAAATACGGTATATGGAGGAAATGCGACATAATGATCGTTCGTGTATTTTACAGCAGTTGAAGTCTATCTTTCTTGTAACTGATAAGGAAGTTTGTTCACGACAGACTTTTAACCAGATGACGAGTCATAGTGGCTCAACATTGTCGAATGTTTCTTATCTTCTTTTAGTGACTCAATTTCTGATAAAATATCTGCAATTTGATTGAGTTTTTTTATAGTCTTTGTATGTAATGTTTGGGAAATAATCTAACTTCTGTATTGAGGCATAAAAGAAAGTTGCAATATGCACTGAAAAACTGAAGAGTTACTTGTACAGAAAAAATATGAGATCTGTATTACATCCCCTGGAAGTTCTTGTAGTGAAAGAAATAACATGGATAAAATTAAAGAAAAATTTCAAACAAATTTGCAAATGAAAGAAAAAGAAAAAGCTGATTTTGTCCACTAAAGATGGCAGATAGACTTAGAAGTCAATGACCCAGACCCAATAGGGCCATTTAAATTAGCGAGATGTACTAACTGTCACACGAATGGCCACCCAGCTGATGGAAATAGGAGAAACAAACCCTGCACACTCCCAGTAAGCAACTCCTGGAAATACTGTATGCATAGAAGTGAAAATACAATAAGAACAGATGAAATGCACTTTTAAAATATAATATAAAATTATCCCAATGAAATGGAAAGATCATAATGCCCAATTGTCTGTTTGTACCATTAAAAAGGAATTTTTGTAATTTTGCATGCATATAAGAAACCGGTTATATAACCTTTGGCCCAGTGTGTTAAACCAGCATATTAAACTTACAGATTCAATATAATGATTTTGATGGAGTGCTGCATGAATACATGCAGCTAATCTTAATTTTTGCTTTTTCCTTCTGTTCCATACAAAAAAACAGTTACCATCACCTATTGACTGAACTGGCCAGTATCCACTTGGAAGGGATGAAAACTTCATGCATCTGTGAAAAAGAAATCCAGACTTTTACATAAAAAAGACTTACATTTTACAAACACAACATTCTCTCCTTGTCTTAATGTACAGTGAGAAATATCTGTATTAAGTTCAAATAAAAGTGAAAACTTGTTAAATTCCAGACACTATGCACTGTGATATAATAGAAATGATGCTAAACAGACAAGATACTATGAACTGTGATATAATAGAAATGATGCTAAACAGACAATATAAAAAAAAATATTCATACAGGGATGCGCTTGGAATCTGTTGTTTGAAATCCCTGTCTGTTAGAAAGTTGGCATTGTCGTATACATGGTTTATCATAAAATTGATGAAAGTGTGGTCAAACTTTTATTTGTCTTGTTTTTTCTATAGTTTTAAATTTGTTCCGTAAGAATTCAATATCGCCTTCAGTGTTGTCTTTATTCGGGTCGTAACATCTACTGAAGATGGACAAGAACATGTTTCCTTTAGGTATAGTTGTACGATGTACTTATTGCCATTTGAACCTTTCACGACGAACGAACCTGCACATGATGGACCATCTTTTGTCGACAAAACATGTAATTGCAAGAGATTGCTATGAACAAGGTACGGTTGTTTCTTCAACAAAGTTGACAGGTCACATCATCTTGCTCACCTTTTGTCAATTTAGATTTTACTCGACTGGCAATTTTATCAGGATCGCAAGCGTCTTTCGGATATCAGTTGCAGCAACTACTACAAGAGTCCTTCAAACCCTTCAATGAAAAATGCTTGGTCTGGCTCCTTATACTCTCCGTCGACCAAGAAACTTTTCTGATTACTTTAAATAAGACGACTGAAGACTGGTATGAATTCAGAGATGTACCAAAGCAGTTTTAATAAAAATGAGTTATTACAACACTATATTCATTATATTAAAGTCCGAACTTCAATACTCTTCAGAGATCAGCACAAATCTTCAATGGAAGAAAAAATTTATCAATGGCCTACGATTTCGGCGTTATAATCGAATCAAATGCTTTAAAACTGACCACGACTTTGACGTTAAAATCACACCAAAGGTATTAAAACTGACCAGAAATAATTGACTAATTTCAGTCACAAATAGTAAACCTATTGAAATACTCTGTCATTACTAAGTCATTTCAGTCAGAAGTAGTAAACCTATTGAAATACTCTGTCATTACTGACTCATTTTAGTCACAAACTGTTAACCTATTGAAATACAACGACACAAGGAGGCCTTCATATCTTTGAGTGGTTTCTACAATCATGACTGGCACTTATATTTGTTTAAATCTTCACGCAATCTGTTGATGATATCTACAATCATAACTACTTTAACCACTGCTTGCAAGAAAACAGTTTTTTTTTGTCTTAAAATTTTGAATAATTATATATTTTGCTATTTAATATAAAGTTTATGATAGACACCAGATGATTATTATAACTTATATAATCTTTATATTAGCATTGTACTCTATTGTAAAATTTCATCAATAGCTAGTAATGAGTAACACCTGGTTATAGAGTGACCTATCGATACTATGAAAGCACTGTTGTTGGAGATGACAAATGCTAATACCATTCAAAAAAATAAAATAATAGTAATGTATCAAGTATAACCAACCTCTGTTGCATAGACATCCATAACAAAGCCTTTTGCACTTAATGACTTAGAATCAGTTTGCTGGATTACACAATATGTTATTTCTTGTAAAAACAGAGAAGTAGCCATTTTTGCTTAAGCTTTGCTACATTACATGTTGACATCAAACAAATGTATAATGTTACTAATTTATTTTATAATGGTTTACTTAACATATGAGGTTATTGTTTTCACAACACAAACATATGTTACATGTACTTTACACTAAACACATACCTATAACCCCTTCCAAAGAAAAAAAAAACATTTGCTTTACGAATAACATTGTATGAATTATTTTTTTTTAGTTTAAATTAATTTGTGAGCAATTAACATAGTAACAAGTTTTAATGATAATAAATTAAGCAGGAATAATGTAAAAAATAGTAGTATACTTTCAGATATATTAAGTGTTTGACCTCCAGAATAATTACCTAGTAATATATATATGTGTCAGTTCATGTTCTTTAAATTGAAACACTCTCTGAAGGTCACCCAGTCATTGTTAGAACCATGTTATTTCCATCTTTCCACATCTGTTTTACTTTTGGTTCCAATCATGGTTTGCCAGCGTGCATAGTTAAGTTTTCCACCAGAAATATATGATACCAATTTCTTTAGAAAAATAAATTAATATACAATAAGTTTTGCAATAATTTCTATTTATATCTACAGAAGAAATAATAATTAAGTGTTATTAACTGGCTGTTTCTGTGTTGCCCCTGGAATAGTTTAAAGGCTAACTGTATAGGCCTTTATACTTTTCAGTCTTTCTGAAAACTTTCATTGAAGGATTTAAAATTCTTTCTTAAAATTAAAATAGAATTAATACTGGAAAATAGGTACAGACAATTCTACATGTACTTTTCCTTCCTCAGTCATGCTGATTTACAATGTAAAAAATGATGAGATTTCTTATTTCCAATTCTTTGAGGCAACAAAAAGATATTTGTAATATGGCATTCATCTACAAAAAACATAACACCATCAAATTCAAGTAAAAAGATTAATTTGATTTAGTGGATAAGTAATTGTGATAAGGTCTACTAGGGCAAAAATGCCACACATGTGTCACGCATGTACCTAAAAACGCATGTGTCACAGGTGTGTCACATGCGTAATACACATGTTTCTTGCCACGCATGGGAATCATGCGTGGTACACATGCGTTCACATGCGTAACACACACATGTGAATCGCATGTGTCAGAAAAACACCCGTGTCACGCATGTGATGGAAATCGCATGTGATACATGCGATATATACATGTGTAACACATGTATAGTAAAACGCATGTGTAACGCATGTGTTAGTAAACACATGTATAACGCATGTATTACGCATGTGTTAGAAAGCGCATGTGAAACATGTGATTTATGCATACTTGATATGTGTGTTAGCTTGCATTAATTTAAGTGTCAATATTATTCATAGACCAATGTTAAAATATGCTATGTTTTAATGCTCACAATTAGTTTGATTCCCATGTGTTAAATGCACATGTGTAATTTGAGGTTTTGCTAAGGTTTAATTAAGTTCATACTGCTTAAAATGTATAAAATGTGAAAAAAAACAGACGTCAATGTAACATGCACCAGCCGAAAGCACAAAGTAACCCAAAACAGACATTAAAATTGAAGTATAGAAACTTCGATAACAACAAATTGACCATAATTTCTAGAAAGAACAACCCAACTGAATAACTACCATACTTAATTCCATTTATATTCAGGTTATGCACACTAAATCATAGGTAATACTGATAAAAAACAAAACATTGGTCAGCAAATGAACTAAATATTATAGTATGTTTTATTACAGAACAAGTTATATAATAATGACATGTTTCTAGACTACTGTTAACTGAAATCATATTTTTTTTTAAGGTGTTAAATATTTCTAAAGTTTTCACCAGAATAACACTAGTTGAAAAAAAAATCCAGTGTAAAAATGAATCAAGAGATTTTTTGAGATATAAAAAATAGTATTATGTTTTTCATGAACATATATGTATATGTTAATCATTTTTTAATTGACATTCAATCTATTTTTTTCAGTAAACATTATTTTGAGTGATCTAAATATTAATCTTGGTGCCAAATATATAAAAGCTATGATATGCATAACATTTTTAATTGTTGAAAAACTAGAACAAAAAATGTTTGCTACAATGACAATAGATGGGAAACATCACATATTTAGTGCCTATGAATGCAAGCAACAACAAATAATATGATTGAATTTTTTGATAGCATAAATGAATTTCATTCAGCTTTACCAGATATTTAACAAAATTCATAAAAATGTTAAAATTTTCCATATTATCTCCCCTTAACATAAGGAGAAATGACAAAAATGGCTTTATATTTAAAGCTGGCATTAGTATTTCATAGGATTTTAGGCCTACAAATTCAGGGTTATTAAATGTTCTTTTATAATAAGAACATAGTACAAGTTTATTTAATAATCTAATAAATACCACTTGATTATGCACCATTACTTTACTCATTTAAATTCAAATGTTTACAAAAGTGAAAAAGTTGCTCAAATATTGATAAATAGATTATCATACTGTCATAATATAATTAATACTGTCAAACCTGCATTATTTCCTGCATTTAAAGGACATGGTTCACTTATGGTCTTCAAATTTAATGTTATAGTAAAATTTCAAAATTGCTACAACTTGGTTCTTAAATTTACCTATTTCAAAAACTTTACTTTGTTTTTAGAATAAATCTGTCAATAATAGTTAATTCTTGGCCTCAGAATCAGCACAAATTATAAATATTGTCAAAATACAATGATTTTGTGCATTTTTCGAACATAACAGCTTGAGGAATTTCTTGGCCGAAAAAATAGGATCCAAAATGTGCTGTAATCAAAAGTTACCAATGATGAAATTGAATCCCTAGAAATAAATCTCTTACTGGATCCTGGGTGGTGGCCAAAGTCAATTATGCAAAAAACTGTTCAGAATTATTGAAAATTTGACCAAAACTGACATTACAACACAAATAGTGCATACTTTATAAGGAGTCAATACTTCGACATTTTTAATATGATCTACCAAAATGAAGTTATTTTGTGTTAACAGTAATAATGCGACTATGCCTATGTGAAATTTGTAAATTTTTGGCCTGATTAAAAAATCATCAAATAATTTAGAGCCAATTTTAGCCATTCGTGAACCTTCTCATTTAAACATGTACACATATGACAGAAAAGTTTGGTTTTTGTCACAAATATTCCTTTAAAACAATTAAACATGCTGAGTTACACATATAACTGAATATCTAAAAATATTGTTTGAAACAATTTACAAAGGTGACAGTATTGTGTATTTTTTGTCACAAATATTGGTAAATAGTTATAATTCTGTCAAAATCTAATAAACATCTTCATTTTACATCATTATTTTACTCGTTTAAATTTAAACATATACACATTTAACAGATCACTGTGCTGAAAACATAATTAAAAAATGCTCAGTTAAATACCAATCATCTAGTGAAATATATAACCACAGCACAAAAGATAAAAAAAAAAAAACGATGAAAATTCATCAAACTGCTTAAATGTGTCCCTTGACATCCTCTGCCTCTGACAAATAATCATTAAATTTTCTTTTACAAGTATGTTTTCATGGTATTGTTCATAAAAACAAAATTCTTTCAGAATACTGTAAATCATGGATTCTGAGATGAGATGTATAAGGCTGGGTAACAAACTGGGTAACTTTAAAACTGAATTGCCTGATTACAATATATATTTAACATATTTAAGGTTTGGGCAAATTGCTTGAACATTATGAAATTTGGATTTCAAAAGATTTCAAAATACAAATTGCCTCAAGATAAGTATATAAATATATGATCAACTGCAAAATTAGCGTCATTATTCATCATGGACTAAATTTCAAAAATCAATGTTTAACCCTGCCAAATAAAATATTTGCAAGTTTCAAGTCAGAACCTGTGTAATTCAGTTGTCTTTTCATAATTGTTTTTCTTTTATTGTTTTTATATAAGTCAGCGCTTTGTTTTTCTTGTTTGAATTTTAAACATGGATAATTTCTTGGCCCCAGCTACCTATAATTGTTTACATCAACACTGACAATCATACCACTTCTTTTTGTTTTTATATTGTATCTGCTGAATCTTTCAATTTTTTAAATCTCATAAAGAAGAGATGTTTCAAGTTAAGATAAAAAATAAAAATAACAGACAAATGGGCATGAAGAACAAGGTATCTTTCAAAAGAGTAGCATAACTGATATTGTTTTTTTCTCAGTTTAATTGATTTCAATATTGAAGGATAAGAACAAGAACAATATGAATGAGCCAGAGGTCAGTAAAACTGGTTGGTTATTAATCATAACAATTGACATAAACTCATATACTATAGAATTCAAGCAAAATATTTTTGCTTCTTATGAACAAAGCTAAATCTGTTCATATAAAAAATAAGCTGATTGGAATGTGCCCACACTTTCTTTGTAACTTGTTTTAATTCTTGCTCTACACGTACATTAACGACACTATCTTTCATTCTACAGGAACTTCTATCACAAGCATGAACAAGACAAATTGTTTGTAATACAGACGCTGATGGAACATAAACAAAACATGGACATGCACACACTACTTCACATGGAACACCAATCAAACCAGCACCAGTAGTGTCTTTTTCTGTCTTTTGGATCTTCACCACTTCTATTTGCTGGCCTAATGTTGTTATGACCTTTAAGGCATACTTGAACAAGCCTACTTGCTCCTGTCAATAACAACCAATTCAAACAGTTAAGGGACACTTAGGCAATTAAATGTTTAGTGAAATTTTACTATATTCTAATCTCTTATGGTTGATTTGTTATAAATTTAATCTAATTCTTTAACATTTAAAAAAAAAATTAAACAGTTCAACCATCATGAACAGTCTAATATAACTTAGGAATAAAAACAATTTTGTCACTGACGTGAAACAACTTTTAAGGTATTTATTTTAACTGTGACAATGTACTCTGACAGCAAAGATGACCAAAACACGTACTATCTTGCTCAGCAACATTTAACGGGATATATAAATGAGTAGTAAAATGTGAGTGCTTTGAAATTTGTTATTGAAATACAAAACAAACAGTTAAATGAGAAACTTAGTTAAAATAACATGATGAATACCATTTTTACCAAGTATTAGCTATATTTTTAAAATAGCAATTAAATAGGTAATTTTACCGTAAGTAACACATCCTAAACATTCATATAGCCATTCTAACAATTGCAGTTATTGCAATGATTCAAATAATTTAAGCGTGTCACTTGATTTATACATTGAGAAAAATAACAGGTGACATATGAGGAACAGGCAGTTCTTACCCTTTGGTAGCATCTGATATCACCTGGTTTGTCTATGGGGTTCAAGATGCTCAGTCTGAATTTTTTTGTACTTATTATTTAAGGAATAACAGTACTGTAGTTGAAGAGTTGCCACCGTCAATTGACGATTTGACCGACGCAAATGCAGTTTTACTGGCGACGCGTAGTGGAGACAGTAAAACGGAAATTTGCAACCGTCAAATCAAAATTGACAGTGGCAACTCTTCAACTACAGTACTGTTATTCCGATTCTAATGCATAACAAAAATAAATAATACGTTAGAGCTTGAAAAAACGTATAAATTTGAAATAAAATAAAATTCTGCAAAACCTCATGAATGATTTTGGCTAAACATGACGTCATACAAATGAAAACTTACAAACTGAAGGTTATTTCATTACTTCTACGATTCAAATTTGGATAAAATCACATTAAAACGGTGTTTTTTAGGTAGGTGTTGTTTTATTTTAGCTAATATTGTTGTAATCGAACATTTGTTGATCCATGAATTCAAAATGGCGAGTCCATCCTTAGTTACGACTGGTCAACTGTGGATTTGACGGTAACTTTTAGCCAATGAAAAAATTTATTACATAAAAATTGCACTAGAATAAATTTTCATATGTAAGATTTAAAGAAATTACTATAAAAACGCAAAGTAATTGACTAAATAAAATTGTAAAACTTACTTCACCATTGTTGTTTATGAATAACACAGGGGCATTTTCATTTGCCATCTCCCTGGTTACTTTTGTCACAACTGCTTTATACAAAATTTGTTGACAATTATGCAGGTCTGGAAAATCAGGAAAAGATGATTGAATTGCCTGTAATTCATCATCATCACTGAATGAGGTACGCACTGGCTTGCAGCTCTTGCTTCTGTCAGCCTTTCTAAGTTGATTTTTCTCATTTATATCATCTTCTACTTCACTTACACCTCCTAAAAACTTTAGCACCTTACTTTCTCTAAACAACTCCTGAACATTCAGGAATGCCTGTATCCTATATCAAACAGAATAAAAAGTGTTTTAAAATAAAGCATTTTAGTAGTGATTTGAAATACCAGTTAATTATTTCTTGTCATACATGACATAATTATTTGAAACTTTCTTATTACAATGTATTTCATCCATATCTATCAAAAGGTAAAGAAATGTGCATCTGCCTCTCTGCAATTAAATGTTAAAGAGTAATAATTTTATAAGAAATCATCCGGATGAATAATGCAAAATAACTCTTAAATTTAATAATCCCTTGTTTGTTTTTTTCATTTAATTATTCAAGTGTGACAAGTTTAGTTAACTAAGCAGTGGTTTTTGTTTTGTAGCTCTGCACTGATCACTATTTATTTTCCTTTATGCATATTGTTAATAATTCTAATGCAATTCATTTGTAACAATAATTTTCATTGGAAGTTGACAAATATTTTGAAGGGTTAGATTCCACGTTCTACCAGTCTGTAACTAAGAAAGCCACCATTTTGAATTCCGATTTTTTTTTGGGGTATGTAATCTCTCAAAGGTAAGCAAGAAAGTCACATTTTTAGCATCAAAATCTTCTTTTTGTTAATATTGAAACAATTCTGAAGCGTACAAAAAGTATAAATACGTCTAGTGATTATGTTTGACATTCAGAGTATACACATGACGTCACATAGTTAGATGCTAAAGACGAGGCAACAGTTTCGCAGACTTTTCAATTTTTTGACATTTTTTAGCCAAAATTTTTATAAAATGGAATTTATTTTAGTATGTGGTATTAGAATGGAGATAAGTGTATTGTATTTTAAGCTTGGCCTTGGTAAAACTTGATTTTACTGTCGCAAATATCCGCTCCGCCTCGCTAGGTAAACTCAATTTGCGACAGTAAAATCTACGTTTTACTAAGGCCAAGCTTAAAATACAATACAGTTATCTCCTAATTAGTTTGCACTTTTTTCATGCATATATACAGCTTTCTTTGGCTGTTTTCTGCTCATTGGTCAGAATTGTTGTCTCTTTAACACATTCCTCTGTTCCTTTCTATTTTCTATACCAAATGAGCTCCTGTTTAAGATTATAAAAATTGAAAAGCCTTTATATCTAACTACATAGTCAATCATTTCATACCACTTATTTCCTTCTTTAAAGAAACCACCAGTCAAAATATGGTTCATTATCTCCATTTCAGCAAATGCACAAGCACTATCCCTGCTTATAGCATGTTGGTTCTGAATGAAGAGCTGACTTCTGATTCGACCATGATTCTTTTCAAACTGGTCCTCAATATATGCAGATGGTGGTCCATGGTTTTTTATATCATCAACCTTTTAAAAAGATTCAAAATAAAAATTGAGGATTAAACACTAAATTCATTATATTTGTAGACATACAGTAATTCTAGTTTTAATCAACCAATATGACAGCTTTATGAAGAAATGAATGTAAAGAAATTATGAAAAAATTAATTTCATAAACAATAAATTGTCCTTTTTGAATAAAAAAAGTTCTTTCTTCAAGAATAAGAAACTTCTAAAGCTAGTTTGCATGCACAATTTAATAGCAACAACAATGACCAATTATTTTTGAAATTCATTGCTTCAACTCTATTTTTTTTAAATTTTGGTTTACTGCCACTTATCGCCTTGTTAGGTAATTCACAAAAATATCCAAATGGTATTATTAAAGTATATTTCTTACTATATGGGTAGATAGATGGGTTTTGACTTTGCCAAGCAGCACTGGATACACATTCTTAATGTCTTTTAATAGTTTGTGTATCTTCCCTTCCACAATCTGCATGTAATCTTCACCAAATGATGTGCCCATACTGAATATCTTACTTAACTGAAAAAAAAAAAATCATGTTAATGTCTAATCTTTTCAGATGAGAACCATTTTTATAGAAAAATTTATAGCTACAAATGTGGAAGTGCATTTTCATCACCCTTGTTATAACACATGCATATACATTTCATATTTGGTTAATTGACTTTGCAAGACAAAAGAAAAATCCTATGTGTTACAGAGTTAATGTTCCACTCAAAATCATTTATCACTTCCTTGTTCAGTGAACCATGAAATTTGGGAAAAACCTTATTTAAATTTCAAAAGATGTGTATCAGGTTTCAAGTAAATGTGAATACAACTTCACCATTAAATAATTCTTATATGATTTGCATATTAGGGAATACATTGATATCATTGGTCGAGATGACTTCCAGTAGCTGTTCTTGACGTTGTTTATTTTTCCATAGACGACGTTGAACAAACTTCTTTTCGTAACCAATGTAAACAATATGGCGGCAATAATAATTCAATACGGACCGACATTTATTTTCACTTCACGTTAATCGTTAAATTAAATAATAAACACAAAACATGTGTTTCATTGATAATAAAAGTTTTTGTAGTTTATCCATTATCAGATAGCAAATTTCATGGAGTACATATTTTTGCATTAACCAACAAATATATTCATACGCCAGGCCTATTCAGTGACACAAATATACAATTTATGTGTGATATGGGTTACGAGTATGGAAAAATGTATTCCTTATCTCCAATTCTAAAGAATTATAAGGATAAAACGCCTTTTTAAAGGAATTTATTGGTGTATAAACTGTACCAAATCACTAACAAACATATCATAAAAGTCCTTTAAACTTTTATTTGTTTGTGAGTGTTGTTTGTGAGTGAATTGATCGAGTTTATACACTAATAAATTCCTTTAAAAAGGCGTTTAATTCCCTATTACGTAAACAAAAAAATGTAACCTGTTTTGGGACAGAAAAAAAAAACCAGCACAAACACACACACACACACACACTGACCAGAAGTTAGTATGCACCTCTTTTATTGCAGATGAGGCATACAAATTAAAAACAACCTAATTGTTCTCACCTCTGCAAGTTTACTGACTATTTTTACTCTTTCAATAGGTAGTCCTAATATTGCAAAATGGAAGGGTGCAATCTGTAACTGTAAAAAAAAGGCATGATTTTTAATATTGGAAAACATAATCTATATTAAATTAAGTTTTTATGTAAAGTGAATTTCAAGATTAACTATAAAACACCTAAACTTCATTTTACTAGAGGGTCATATAAGGGCTTAGTTATATAGCCAAATTTAACTTCACAACTAGTTTGTCTTTCGAAAAAAAAAATTCTCAACCGAATGAACATAAATCATTTTTCAGTAGTGCATTTTAATATATTAATGAATGCATCATTTTTCAGTATTGCATTTTAATATTTTAATGAATGTATAATTTCAGTATTGCATTTTTATATTTTAATGAATGTATCATTTTTCAGTATTGCATTTTATTTTTTTAATTAAAGCATCATTTTTCAGCATTGCATGTTAATATTTAAACGAATGAATCATTTTTCAGTATTGCAATTTAATATTTTAATGAATGCTTATATCATAAATTCAAACTTACGTAATTCTTTATGTCTTTTCCCTGTCGTGAATCTATGTATGTGACTATTTCAGAAGATATTTTAGACTTGAATGACGACTGGTCCATAGCATCTATGATGCACAACAACTTTTCTTTTAGATGATCACTAATGTCAAAACTCTTCTTTAAGATAAATTTACCGAGCCCAAGGTACATCCAGTGAAGCTGGCCTACAGGTATATCACTGAAAAAATTATAAATAAATGTTAACTATTATAGCATTTGTTGATTTCAAACAGAAAAGAATCCTTTGATGTCAATACCTTTAAATATGTTCACATGGTGGCCCCGAGTTGTCTTGTACATTTGGGTTGGGTTGTTGTCTCTTTGACACATTCCTTGTTTCTCTTCTTTATTCTATTAGTTGTGGTTTAAATGTTGTCATGTTATTGTTTCTTTCTGGATTGACCCTGATGTTCATCTGATGTGTACACTCGATACATTAAATAAAGCATGTTCATTGATTTATATTGTAATGTAGTACCATAGATGTATAAACCGAGAGTTTATACATCTATGGTAGTACTATAGCATGCTTGTAAGTTTCATGTCATGACAGAAAAGCCAAATAGTTATCAATTTCGGTTATAAATGTCATCAAATTAATAATTTTAGTCAATTTCTACAAATTTATCTATTATAGTATTTGAAATAATAGTCCTCAAACCTGACATATATTTCATATAGGCCAAATAAAACCTAACTCGGCCTCAATCATTATTAGTGTATTATGATTTAAACCTTATTTTACATGATTTCCAAAACAACAGTAGATACAGGTGATTGACACAGGCTCTAGTTAATCTATACATTCAAGTTACCTGTGAGGATCAATTATTTCCCATAAACAGTTTTCATAAAATTTGATGCCATGGCGTTGACTCAACTCTTTGCTGTAGTGGAGTTGTAGCCTATTCAATATTTTCCTGGTCTTATCTGACTCTCTTTCTTGTCCTTGTTCTATACAAGTTGATTTATCAGCCTAAAAAATGTAGAATTGCATTTACTATGGTGAATGATTTAATTTAAAGGACTAATGTATTATATAAAAATTAAACCAAGCGTACTTCTTTAAATAAAATAGGTTAACACACAAGAGGGAGTTGACTTCTCAAAGAAAGGTATATGCAGATGTGCTTGTGAATGTACATTTCAGTTTGTTTCCCAGTGGTGGTCGTGACTTCAAGCAATATATCCCCCCAAGGGTGACTGGGGAATAGAAGTATGGTCACCATTGGTCTTCCTCCGACCGGCAGTAAAACCCGTGCTAAAGTGGGGCGTCCGTTTGGCTGTGCGGGATGTACAAATTTGCAGCCACGTCCGGTCAGAATGGGGACGTTAAATCCGATGCCTCGTGTAAAGAGAGTGCCACGCTCTTTGCACGTTAAGAACCCTTGCAACAACTCTTTGAGGGGTCCGTAGGTGACCTGTTGCAAGGCTAAATTTCTGTCCCTATCCAATATACCCTCATTTCCCGTGGCAGTCTAAATTTCACCGACCTCAATCCCTTAATCTATTACAGAACCTACCTATTGTATTTATAGTGAACTTGTTCTCGTCCTGAATATGCATGAAATATTTGCCACTGGACGTTAAGCAACCAACAATCAATCAATCAATCAAGCAATATAATGTCAGTGACTATATCTTTGTATATGACATGGAAAAAAAACGCATTTGGCTGCTAAAAAGTATGAGTTCAGAACAATTTAAATATATATACATGTTTTGGCAGCTAGCTGCATAGAAATCATTTGGAAATATGTTTCACAACATAGTTACATCAGAACATGGTCTAGAATTTTACATAAATCCATTCATGGAGTTACTATATCAGACTAAGTATATCTTTTCATTGATGGGATTTGAAAATAATGCAACTGGCATGTCTCTGTCTGATAATTTTACAATATTACTTCGTATCAGTTTTAGATTAAGGTGGTAACAAACACATTTAATAAAATAAGTTTGACTTGTTTAATTTTCACAAAATTTTGACAAAATATTTACTTAGACCTGTTCAAAGTATAAAAATTATTGTCAGGTTCAGTGGGAAATATTTCACACAAAAATTTACAATAGTTTGATGGAGTAATAGAAACCATTCTGCATTAAGATTACATTTAACATGCTCATTTAATCTGGATGCGAGTGTGTACTTATACATCCCACATATCATTACCAGTAGGAAGAAAACCATCTTTTAAATTTCTTCTTTTATAATTACATGTGAGGAAAAAAATACATCAACGAACTACTTCATTTACCTGTTAATTCTTCATTTAATGAGTATTTAGATGATGATCCATCTGCTGTGGAGGGTGTTGATAACTTAAATTATAAAATAATATATTTTTTTGTTTTTGCATTTCAGATGGGGGAAAAGAGGAGAATTTTAAAAGTGAGTACCCTTACCATCTGTTTTTTTTTAAAAAATAATATACTTTTATATCAACACCTTTTTTAATGAAAGAAAGCAATGTAGAAAGAATAGATAGTTTCCTATCCTTAAAATGAAATATCATGAATATATTACCTACTCATTTTAATTATCTAATGAAATTATCTTTTCAGGCAAAGAGAAGACTCCCACAAACAACAACCACTGATTGCCCCATAGATTTAACAGGGGGAGAAGAGAATGAAGTGGTATGTATAAAAAAAAATGATTTTAATTTAATATCTAGTTCAAATTACTTTTTTTCATTGTGATGATACATGAAAACCCATTCTCTTTAAAAATTGCAAGTGTGTGTTTTCATTAATATCATATTTTTGTTTCTTCTTTGAAAATGTGAATTTTAATATAATATGTTCTCTATTCTCAGAGAATAAAGATTCATTTCAAACTAATTAATATATCTGTATTTATTTTAGTTGAATGATATTACAAAGATAATCGATAACCATTTGGAGGGGGAGAACGTAAGTACCTAATCTATTTTTAATAGTATTCCATATAAGGATATCGTAAACAAAACCACGTGATAATATGACCATATACGGAACAGACATATATAACTGTAATTCAAAAAACTTTTCACTCACCTCACATCTATGTTTGTTTATTATCACACTGCTGTAAGTTTTTCCAACAAAATAGGTACACAGTGTATCATCCGATGAATCTAAATATATTGTGACTTCGTTTAAAGGGAATATTACATCTGTTATCTGTTCCACCGAATTAATTTTATAAAAGCGAACTTCCTGTACCTCTTCTGGAATAACCCCAGAGAAATGTCTTCCATCCCCTCTACAGTCTAATACTGCTTCATAGCGGTAACAGTTCATTATATCTACACTGAGTGTTGTCTGCATAACAACAGTAATAACTATGATAATTGAAAACATGATCTTGATGATAAAATACAGATGGCGATTACGAAAACAGTAGTGACGCTCTTGAAAGTGTTTATGACGTAATCATCTTATCACGTGATGAACGGGGGATAGAATGGGGGTATTTCACATAGAATAATCCAAGCAATATTCTTCACAAAGAACATCATTTTCAAATTGAAATAAGACTATTAATTTACGGAAATTATATATGTTTTTTTTTTTTTAAATGTATTATTATATCTTTTACAGATAGCGGAAAAGATGGAAGATTCGCCAACAGCACCATGGAGTGTGATAATGGATTTTTCCATTTTATCAATGGAAGAACAATAAATTATTTATCAGAATATAAAAATAAAATTTGTAATTTAATATGTTGATTTATTTCTGTTGAAAATAATATCATGAGTATGTGTATAAGGTAAACAATTTTCTTCCTAGTGGATATACACAATAAAAAACAATTATTTAAGAAGATGAGGTATGATCACCAATGAGATATTTAATGATGTAGAAGTTAGAAACTATTATTTTATGTGAATTTGTGAGGTTGTCTGTCGGTATGCAATTATAGAGTAAGTCTGTAAAGTGGTACTTTGGTTCACGGTACATGATAAGCTACACGCTTCTGATATTAGGTTGTCCAGTGTCAAATAGTTCACACGTGATGTTTACTATGTTGTTTATTATTCACGGTGTGCAATTATAAAGTATGATCTGCAAAGTGGTACTTTGGTTCACGGCACATGATAAGCTACACGCTTCTGATATTAGGTTGTCCAGTGACAAATAGTTCACACGTAATGTTTACTATGTTGTTTATTATTCGTGTGCAATTATAGAGTATGATCTGCAAAGTGGTACTTTGGTTCACGGCACATGATAAGCTACACGCTTCTGATATTAGGTTGTCCAGTGACAAATAGTTCACACGTAATGTTTACTATGTTGATTATTATTCGTGTGCAATTATAGAGTATGATCTGCAAAACAGAACCTTGACTCACGACATATGATAAGCTATATACTTCTTATATTAGGTTGTCCAGTGACAAATAGTTCACACGTGATTACGATGCATCTAAAATAGAACACACACACGCATACATATAAAAGAATGAGTTTTCATCATTTCTACATTTGAAGAAGGTGTATGACGGATGTAGGAAAAAAAATACAATCATGGTTGATGAAGTGGATAAAATTTTGAGCAAATTTTATTACAATTTGAAAAAACCGAGTTCATTTTCGTCGGCGCAAAAACTATATCAAATAGTGAATGTAAACCGAGAGAAAAAAATTGGTTTGCATAAGATAAGGAGGTGGTTGAATTCACAGGATAATTATTCACTTCTTAAGACTCCTCGTCGATCTTTTAAAAGGTTACATGTGTACACTAGTGGCATTGGTGATCTGTACGAAGCAGATTTAATGGAAATTGGTAACATAGCATCGGAAAACAGTGGTTTCCGTTTTATTTTGGTTGTCTTGGATGTTTTCAGTAAATACTTATGGATGGAATTATTGAAAACTAAAACCGGAGAAGAGGTTTCTAACGCATTAAGAAAAATACTCCTACACACGAATCCGATCAAACTCCGCACAGACAAAGACAAATGTTTTTTGAGTAAAAAATCTCAGCAACTCTTCAAAGAAAAGGGGATTAAACACTTCCCTTAGTGAAAACACAAAAATCGTACATTTCTGATAGAGGTGACTTAATCAGAAATATTGAAAACTGTACATTTGATAATAATGTACTACTTGTTACATATGATATAACATCACCGTATACCAATCTCAGATTTGAAGAAATCACAGAAGCCTTACAAAAAGCGCTTGATGAACATGAAAATTGAATCTTCTATAAAAAAAACCTACCAACAAATTTTTGATTGAAATAACAAAACTCATCCTTTCAAATAATGAATTTACCTTTTATCGAAATTCATATCGACAAATCATTGGAGCATCATTGGGAGCAACAGCTCCCCCTGAAATATGTGACATTGCTATTTACAATCACATAAACTCAATCCTTAAAAACTCTCCAATCTCTGAAAAAATTATTTTTCATAAAAGAATGAGAGATGACGGACTACTGATGGTAAAAGCAAAAGAGTCTGATTGATTGATTGATTGTTGGTTGCTTAACGTCCAGTTGCAAATATTTCATGCATATTCAGGACGAGAACAAGTTCACAATAAATACAATAGGTAGGTTCTGTAATAGATTAAGGGATTAAGGTCGGAGAAATTTAGACTGCCACGGGAAATGAGGGTATATTGGATAGGGACAGAAATTTAGCCTTGCAACAGGTCACCTACGGACCCCTCAAAGAGTTGTTGCAAGGGTTCTTAACGTGCAAAGAGCGTGGCACTCTCTTTACACGAGGCATCGGATTTAACGTCCCCATTCTGACCGGACGTGGCTGCAAATTTGTACATCCCAGACAGCCAAACGGACGCCCCACTTTAGCACGGGTTTTACTGCCGGTCGGAGGAAGACCAATGGTGACCATATTTCTATTCCCCAGTCACCCTTGGGGGGGGGGGAAGAGTCTGAAATTGATTTTCTGTTTGAAAATGCAAATAAACAACATGACCTGCTAAAGTTCACTTATGAATGCAATAATCATTCCATAAAATTTCTAGACCTTGAAATCTTCAAGGGCGAACGCTTCAAAAATACTGGTGTTTTAGACCTGGAATGTTTTACAAAGAAAACCGAAAAATTCCAATATCTTCATAAAAACTCAAACCACCCCATTTTAAACTTTAAATCCTTTATTAAAGGCGAAGGCATTCGTATACTTAGAATCACCAATACTGACAGTGAATTTCAAACCAGAAAAAAATCTCTTTATTGAAAAACTATTAATTAGAGGATATCAACTGAAATTGGTAGAACAAATTCTATCAAAAATCAAATTCCAAGACAGACAAGATAAATTAAAGAAAAAGAACAAAGTTGAAAATGTATATAATATTGTATATAATATATCATTCATTACAAATTATCATCCTCAAGCAGAAAAACTTCAAAAAGTATTCAGGAAATACTGGCATCTTATTAAAACGGATTCTACAATAGGTGCTAAATTCCATAAAAACCTATCAATAGGATTCAAAAGAAACAGAAACATTGGTGAATTAGTTAAACGAACTATAAAATAATCTATCTAAACCTCACAGTTCCTACTAAACATTTAACTGTGCGGAACTAATTAATGGCCATCATGTAAACAACACATGTAAACTGATATTCTTATGAGGACAAGTTTGTACTATGAAACGCGTAATTAATTCAACATTGGTTGAAAAAGTTAAGAAAACCAAAATAAAAATAAAACAAATTTAAAAGTGTAATTATTAAAAACACAATTAAAAACTATTTAAAAAATTAAAAAATTAAAAATTAAAACTTTGATAACCTAAAGAAAAAAAATTAGTAATAATAGAAAAGAAATAAATGAAAAAACAAAACAAAAACAATAGGGCTGGTCTCTGATGAAGGTTTCCCTGGAATAAAAACATTTCCGAAATAACCCAAAACATTGCGTACATAGCACAGTATCAATGTTAGGCCAGAGATATGATTCGCACCTAAATGGGTGGATATTGGATCAATTTCTATGAAATTATGTCTTAATCCCTAACAGTCAAAAACCTAAAGATGAAATCGAAATAGCTGAAAAGGGAGTGCAAAATATTACAGAACTTAGTAGGAGAAGATATCCTCTTTTAACAATGAAAACTTTGTTGGAGTTCCAAAAGAAACACTCCATTAAATCTGGAATAATATCCGTGCACTTCAATGGAAACGTAGGACCAAAGACCAACAATGATGTCAATGCAGATATAAATAAAACCTTGAAACCCGCAATAGACAATCTCCAGGATTCTATCATACAAGTGCTGAAAGAACATATTGATAAACTGAATGTAATGTTAAATAGTGCATTTACTGAAACAATAGAATCTATTGGAATTATTACGGAAAAAAGTGGTGAAGCAAGAAACCTTATAAACAGAAAGTCTAGGGAAATTAATGATGAATTCGAAAAACGTCTAAGGAACTACTCTAAAAGCTTGAAACATGAAACTAAAAAGAGTACTACTAGCAGAAGGAATATAATTTGAGAAGGCCATTGACAAGACATGTCAGAGACAAACATCCAAAGAAGATGTTACAGTGTAGATTCTGTTCTTACTTAGTGCCAACAAGTAAAAGGTTTTGCTTGGTAGATCATGAGAAGCATGTGCACAAACACATAATGAACCCCGGGACTAAGGACAGAGAGCTGATCATACCAGAAACCCTTAACAGAACAACAGTGCCAACTAAACATTTTCATCAAAGACACAAGAAGGAAAACTGTACTATTACCCGGCCAAGAACTCCTCCATCAACACTAATATAAATCTACCAAACCTATATCACCACTATCAGAAATATCTCCATGCAGCATATTTTGCATTACATTTACTAAGGATCCCTGTCGCCAGTGAAGAAAATTTGGTTGAACTATTTGACTCGCCTATTCGACAGGCAGAAGAAAAGTTAATAGCAGAAGCACCCATTAAACACCTGCAGCTATCACGAGGGATAGCAGGCATTGAAGTTGCCTGCTATTGGGGATGAAGTCTATCCTGAAGACAGATTTCAGGCCCTACCCTCCTGCTTTCAAAGTTCTTATGAAGCAGCTAAATGTATGGTAGTGGCTGAGAAGGCAAAGAAGACGGGGAAATACACAGACAGTGTATTGCCCACAGGATATGGTGCCGTTAGGTTATATGAAATATGCATTCTGCCTGATGGCAGTTTATAAACTATCAGCTACTTGGATACAAGACCCATCTGTTTGCAGTTTGATTGATTGATTGTTGGTTGCTTAACGTCCAGTGGCAAATATTTCATGCATATTCAGGACGAGAACAAGATCACA